ACTAGTAGCTTCTTGTTACTACTAGTAAGGCACTTGTTTCTAGAAGCGATGCACTTGTTCCTAGTAGCGTCCTTGTTCCTAGTAGTAAGGCCAGGAGCCCCGTTCGTAGCTGCACCATTCGGGGCGATTCAGAAGGATCATCTTCGCAAGTTCCCAGACAAGTCCCAAAGAGGCCACAAATGGAGAAAGTGAGCGTTTCACAAAAGAAAAACCATGTCAACAAACTGCGAATGACATGCCAAATTGCACCCTCGCACTTGCAATGTTCAACAATCCAAAATAGGTGTTAAAAACAAAGTGTTAGTCTATAACTCTAGCAAAAAGAATGCATTGGATGATGTCTTGGTGCTCGGACATCTCGCCAAACTCCCGGAGCTTTACTGAGAAGGGATGCGCCTGGAGAAATATCGTGATGTCATCTTGGCTCACCTACACGATTTGGGGGCGTGAGTTTAAGGTTCAGTGGATTTGTACGATCAGTTTCATGTCTATACTTTGTGCCCCGCACCTATTAGATGATAAAATATATCGAAAACAGTTGTACTCCCTAGAAAGTAGCTCACTCCACCATTTATCTTGAACCCCAAGAACCTGCAGCCAGGTCTTCTGACTCCCATTCTCATTGGATACTTGATATACTTCTAGTCTAGTTGTAAACTGAAGTTTAATGGGAAAATGTGAAAAAGTTGAAAGCTGCACCTCCATTGCATCTGCCACAAGATCAACCACCTGCGGCGCTGCAGAAGTCGCCGTGGGAGAGACCCCCCAAGTTGCTGTGGAAAGCGTTGTTCTTCGTGGCAAAGAAGTAGAACGCAGGGAAACAAGGATGGTCTAGTCTAAAGGACTTCAACCAGGTAGAAACAGAACAATAAGGAAGGTATCTAATTGCTAGATGAGAGGGGTCAAGGATAAATGTTAAGGCCCAAAAAGCAGGTCACAGACCCAAAGGCGATTAACCAAGTCTATAGCCTTCATCGAGCCACTCTGCCCTCCAACCTGCTAGCGATGGCCTCCAACCTACTAGCAATAAAGACTAATAAAGTCTATGACCTTGTTCAAGAATAGATTGGTCAGTGGTCCTGCCAGTGTCCAAGGACTTCAACTTCACAGCATGTGGCGTTGCCATACGCCGTCAGCAACTCCGTGTCTACGGGTAAACTAGAATGGCTTTCAATTCCATCTATGTGTTCCAACTCTTCAGACCTTTTAACTCTGGATCGTTCGTTTTGAAGGAACCAAGGGAATCGCTACTAGGAGCAAATACGCTACTACGGGCTCCTGGCCTTACTACTAGGAGCAAGAACGCTACTAGGAACAAAGGGCATCGCTACTAGGAGCAAGAAGCTACAAGGGCATCGCTGCCCGTTGTTTCCTTGTCTCTTGTTCCAAAATGTCCCACCTTCAACTTGTGACAGCGCCGCACGTTATCTTGGTTTGAGGTGGCGAGACCTGAGATCCGGTCAGCACATCCTTGATCGATCGAACAGAGGAAAAAGGAAACACAATTGCAATTGATACAGGAAACTTGTTACTAGTAGTAAGGCACTTGTTACTACTAGCGAGGCACTTGTTACTAGTAGTAAGGTTCCTCAAAAGGAATCAGCTAATACAGGAAGCGTTGTGGTATATAGTTGGAGACATATGCAAGACCAAGTAGATACGGACAAATCCATGCCGCATTGGGGGGGCATGCCTGTAGATAGAAAAGGTGCATGATCTATTTGGACTCAGGACAAACTAGCAGTATCCCTGGTTCGGTCTAAGTCCACTTTTCTGATGCATGTCCTGCATTGCCCCCACGTCGCACAATTCCGTGCATCTCAAGGAGCTTTGCAAAGCCGAGGCCCCAAAGGCAAGCACATTGGCGGCCTTGGGGTTTGCCTGCATGGCCTGCAAGGCTAGTAGATTGGAGGCCATCGCTGGTAGGTTGGAGGCCATCGTTATTGGGTTGGAGGCCTTGGGGTTTGCCTACATGGCCTGGTCCCAAGGCTCATTCGGTGGGTTCGGAATCAGTGGCAACTGACAACTGTTGCTGAATGTCGCGCCGTGTTGAGCATTGCTCCCTTGCTGCGCAACGATTCAAGTCCACGGTTGCTCTCTTTTATGTGTGCCTACCATAAATCAGATCAAAGTGTGACCAGGCCTCAATGAACAAAATCCTTCCTTTTCGGAAGTATCCATTGGATCGTATTGGATCCTTACAGTTTGGAGGCCATCGCTAGTAGGTTGGAAGCCCATTAGTAGCAAAGGGCATTACTACTAGGAGCAAGGACGCTACTAGTGGCTCCTGGCATCGCTACTAGGAGCAAGGACGCTACTAGTGGCTCCTGGCATCGCTACTAGGAGCAAGGACGCTACTAGTGGCTCCTGGCATCGCTACTAGGAGCAAGGACGCTACTAGGTTGGAGACCATTGCTGGTAGGTTGGATGATCATATTGGATCCATAGGTCCCATGTCCCTCGCCCTCGCTATTTTGAAGACAGAATGAGTACTGGGTGGCTGGTGCCGGGCAGCTTAGGTACCAGGTGAGGCACTGGCTAGGGTGAGTTGAATTGGTTGCAATCTTTGTTTGGTTGGTTAGGCCGCAAGGCAAGCTGCATCCTACCTACAGAGAAGAGGGGCAGGTCTGTGGCGCTGGTATGCGGCAAGACGACCATCGTCGATCCGGCTAAGCCGTCTCAATCTGGCGCACGTGGATAGTGAGGGTGCTGCCCCTTTTGCCTGGTTGTCGGAAGATGACGATGAATCAGGGTTTTTATGGTGCCAAAGCTATCAAGCCAACAGATTTTCGGTTCGTGAACGCACCCCGTTGCCGAAAACCAGCGCGGCTGGAGAGTCAGAAAGCCCATCTCCGAAGGTGACGAAGTTCCGAGTTGGTTCAGTGATGCTGTTGCGACATGGACGACGAATTTTGACGGAGATGGGTAATGACTGCGGCAATAGGGGACAACTGCACGCAAATTGATAATTAGGTGCATGGTGGCTACCGTCGTTCGCTATGGCAAGAGGAAAGAGTAAAAAATGGTTGGTTGGTTTTGTGTCGTTTTGTTTGTTGTATGTTTTTTATTGGTTAGTGTTGGTGTGTTTTGCTCTTTTGGGTTTGTTTTGGTTGGTTTGTTTGTTTTGGGCTCAAGTATGCTTGAATTTCTAGCGCTTGGCAGCCCCAAAGCCAAAGTGGCGAGCCCTTTTAGTGTTTGCAACCCCTTGTTGCTTTGCGGTAGGTCGGAGTGCAATCCCTCACCAGACACACTCTCTGGCAAAATTGTGTGCAATGGTTGCCTTGAACTACATAGGTTGCAGCAATGGCGGTTACTGTCTTGGTATCCTTGCTAGACTCACTGGGTTTTGTGCAGCCCTGTGGGCATCGATTCTTCATGTTGAATCTGCTTGGAGTGCTGCAAAGGAGTGGCCATAGCTCACTTCTGAGCATGGGGTGTTGGTGTTTCTTCTTGGGACGGCCCCTACTGACTCCCGGGGAATGATTCTTCCTAGTTTGCACAGGCTTGTCTTAATTTGGTGTATGTATCTAGTCACAGGCGACCGCCTTCGACGCACAGAAAAGAAAAAGTGTTTGTTGTTTGCTTTTTTTTGCTTGTTTTTTCTGTTTGTGTTCTTGCTTGTTTGTTTGTTTCGCTGCTGAAAGCGCTTCAGGACCCAAGGCCTGTGATTGCAGGCTGCAGACAAAGCGGGGTGAAGAAGTAAACGAACAGCTACACAGGATCAAGAAAAATCAAAGGACGAAACTTGAGCTACTAGTAACAAGTGCCACGCTAGTAGTAACAGGTGCCTTACTAGTAGTAACAAGAAGCTACTAGAAACAAGTGCCTTACTAGTAGTAACAATAAGAATTTACACCTTTACACCTTTTTCAGACCTTTCTTTCGTTACGGTCGCTACGGTCGCTTGGAGGCCATCGCTCGACACCTGCACGATGGCTTCCACTCCACCAATCTCTCCGATCCTGGAAGACTATCTGTGCACGACTGGCTGGGTCTTTTGAGGTGTTGCACTTGTAATGGTGAATGGCTAATTGCAATCATTTTTGACATGAGTCATGTTCTATGGTTGTGTTTATGGTTTCAAGAACGCTACTAGGGGCTCCTGGTTTAGACTCACAAGAAAAGCAAAAGGATCCGAAAATCAATTGATGTCGCCTTGCAAGTGTCCTTACCCCTTTCTTGTCTACAGACAATTTGAACTCAATGTGTTTTGGCCGACCTCCCTCTAATACCATGACCTCCAAACCTAATAGCAGAGGCCTCCAACCTAATATCAGTTACTACTAGTGGGACGTGTCCCTCCCTGACAACCGAACTCACGACAATTGACTTTCTGTGCCGGTGTCCTGGTCCGCATTTCTGGATTGTTGCATGCCACACCTGCGTTGACAACGCTTGAACCAAGAGAGTTAATATTGCTCTTGAATTAGCACCTGTTCATTCCCAGCCTGTTGTGAGTGTTGCTGGCAAGGCTCGAAAAGCGAGACTCTGTGCTAGCTGAGGTCTAGATGTACGAGTATGTCAAGCCGATCCAGGTGGGCCATCCTCGTGAATTGTGAGCCTTTGTTTGCTCAGGCAAGTGATGAGTTCGCTAGAGGTTTTTTCAACTAATTTCAGCCAGCTCCGATTTCTGCTAAACCCATCCCACAATGCGCAAGGCTTTGTGTTCTGGGCTTCTGGGGCACCAGACTTTGCAAGAGAGCACAACCAAAGGCCTGCCAACCAAGGGTTACTGCACGTGGAAATCGAGCGCGTTCCTTGCCTAGCTCCAAGTGCTGACTTACCTTGCTTACTTCCTTACAAAATTGCTTACTTCATTAAGTACTTACTATACCTACTTACTTACTTGCATACCTACTTGTTTGTTTACTTTCTCACTTACTTGCTTATTTGCTTACCGTCACCTTACCTCACTCACTTACTCCAATCTACAAAGGACACTCACGAAAAACAGAGTTCTTGTTTGCTCGTCTGTGGGTCGGACACCGAGGATTTTTGGATTCTGTTGCAGCGCCTGGACTTTGGGCTCCTTATGGAGGCTCAAGACTTCAATGGCATGCCTCAAACTGCAGTCAAGAAAGCGCGTTTCAAAACGAATGCATTTGTCACAAAAGTTATCTTCCAAGTAACCAAAAAAAACTAAAGGATTCAAAACACAAAGAATAAAAAATGGAACAAAAAACAAAATTGTCAAAAATGTCATTAGAACGTCGTCATCACAGTAAATCAGCGAAAACGTGACTTCTGGGGGTGGCCCAATTGGGCTGTGGGTCTTAAGGGAATGCCAGTCGTCACAAAGCAAAGAGAAAAAATGTGTTTGGTTTTTAAGAATAAGTTAGTTCTACTGTTTTGTAATTCAACTGTTCTTTTGGCGCATTGCTGTGCAAGCCAAAGAGCAGCGACCATTCGCATGTGATAGTAATTCAATTTTCAAGATTCAAGAGTTTCTTTTATGCACTTTTATGCATTGAAAGATGTCCTAGAAGTCGTCTAAGAGATTAAAAATGAAAGATTTGCGTGTATGTTCCTATGTTCCCTCTTGCCCTTGGGGGCCGTACCTTCCTTCTATGTCTCTTAGACTTCTGTGTTTTGGCCTACACCCTAGTAGCGATGGCCTCCAACCTACTAGCGAGAAGACATGTATAGAATTCATTGCAATTCCTTCTTCTAGAAAGCTGCTTCAAGGAAGTGTTCTTGTTGGCCTTGTAAGGTTTTCGAGCTTAAGCATGGCACGTATCGAAGCATCTCCCAAAGCATCTCGAAGGGCCCTGAAACCACTCTAAGGCATGTGCTCGCAACCTTCTAGCTCACCAATCTGCAGCTGGTTGTCCGCCTCAGATCTTCTGTGTTCAGATCTGTTCACATGTTTGGTCTTCAGTTTCCAATATGAGTGAGGCCATTGCTACTAGGTTGGAGGCCATCGCTATTAGATTGGAGGCCATTGCTATTAGGTTGGAGGCCATCGCTATTAGGTTGGAGGCCATCGCTATTAGGTTGGGGAGGCCATTGCTAGTAGGGTTGGAGGCCATTGCCAGTAGGTTGGAGGCCATCGCTACTAGGTTGGAGGCCATCACTATTAGGTTGGAGGCCATTGCTATTAGGTTGGAGGCCATCGCTATTAGGTTGGAGGCCATCGCTATTAGGTTGGGGAGGCCATTGCTAGTAGGTTGGAGGCCATCGCTAGTAGGTTGGAGGCCATTGCTAGTAGGTTGGAGGCCATCGCTAGTAGGGTTGAGGCCATTGCTATTAGGTTGGAGGCCATCGCTATTAGGTTGGAGACCATCACTAGTAGGTTGGGCCATCGCTATTAGGTTGGAGGCCATCGCGAGTTGGAGGCCATTGCTAGTAGGTTGGAGGCCATTGCTAGCTGGAGGCCATTGCTAGTAGGTTAGAGGCCATTCATTGCTAGTAGGATGGAGGCCATTGCTAGTAGGTTGGAGGTCATTGCTAGTAGGTTGGAGGCCATTGCTAGTAGGTTGGAGGTCATTGCTAGTAGGTTGGAGGCCATTCCTAGCAGGTTGGAGGCCATCGCTATTAGGTTGTTGGCCATCGCTAGTAGGTTGGAGGCCATTGCTATTAGGTTGGAGACCATCGCTATTAGGTTGGAGGCCATGGCTAGTAGGTTGGAGGCCATCGCTAGTAGGTGGGAGGCCATTGCTATTAGGTTGGAGGCCATCGCTATTAGGTTGGAGACCATCGCTAGTAGGTTGGAGGCCATTGCTAGTAGGTTGGAGGCCATCGCTATTAGGTTGGAGCCATCGCGAGTAGGTTGGGGGCCATTGCTAGTAGGTTGGAGGCCATTGCTAGCTGGAGGCCATTGC